GCGGCCGCCCCTGCAGCATCGAGCACAGCGGGCGGGCGTCACGGGCGTGCCCAGATCGGAGCCATCGGCGGCAGGAAGGGAGCGGGTACCCATGCGGTGGCGGCCGCTTGGCTTCTCTGTCCTCTGCCCGCCGGCGGCCTCCCGCTTCCTGTTCCTCCGAGCGCCTTGACTGACAATCTCGGCCGGGGTGACGGCGGCGCGGGTCTGCGGTTGGCCGCCTCCTCTTCCATCCTGGCCTGCGCGACGCAGAAGAGAGTTTGCTTGTTTGGGTTTGGCCATAAACAAGGATCTGAAGAAGCGATTATTTGGCGGATGAATCGCTTGATCAGAAATGTTTCCAATCATTCTGATGGAAAAAAAGAAAACCTTCGACAAGAATCCAAAGAACTCCTCAAGGCGGTCTCACCGGGACCATCGCCGAGGGAGTCTGAAGCGGGGAGGGGGGCTCGCACGGACGAGCGGCGAGGCTCACCTGCACGTCTTTGCCGATCAGGTGTATCCACGCGTCCACCGTCTTCTTGATGCGAGCCCGCTCGCTCGATTCGCTGCCAAAGTCACAGCAGACAAGACGTCAAGCTCCAGAGCGCCATCTGGAGTGTTGGAGTCCATCTGCCGCCAAATCTGGCAACTGCGTTTCCAGGACGGGACGCGATTTGATACCGTCACCTTCCACGGCCATTTTTTTCCCCTCATTCCTTTGAGCATCCGATGCAAACAATTTCTTGCGGAGGGGTGAAAGCGGCGTCAGGGGGGGTTTTGACTTTCCAAAAGATTGACTGAAATGTGACGCGGCGCCATGCCCACATTAGATGGCGTCGACTCAAAAGCGTCTGATCGGGGCTCAACTCCCGGTTGGAGTTGGACAAGGTCCAAGCCCCGAAATTCAAACCAAAATGGCTGCTTTCAACCCAACCGTCAGACTTCCTGTTTCATTTGGGGCCACGACTTCTTCCCGCGTCTGCAACAGCGTGAAAAATGGCCGCTTGGGAGCAAAATGGCCGACTTGGCGTAGCGCACGTCCACCCAATATCACGTTCGGTCGGGGGGGCGGGGGGGTGTCTACCTGTTCGCTGCCAGAGCCTCCAGCTGGCAGTGCAGAACCTCGCCGCCGCGGGCTCTCTCCGCAGTCTCCAGATGGTCGTCCAGAATTTTCTTCCGCCGCCGAAGCCGGCGCAGAAGCCGGCGGGCCTCCTCCAACGTGGACGGCGGCAGCGGGGCTTCGCTCTGCTTGAAAACACGTGACAAACGTGACAAATCGCGTGGCGTGCTTTCGAGAAGCGTGCGCGTACGCCAGAGGGCTCGGAAAGGTCGTAGCGACGCGCCATCAAGAAAATAATATTTGACTTTTTGAGTTGAACGTTTGAATTGCTTCTCCAGCGCATCTGGGATACGTATTCAATTTGCTCGCCACCGCCTCATTTGCCTGGCAACAGGCGAGTCAGGGGACGACGGCACTTATTTTGTTCCACTTAAAGCGGCGCTTGAGAGCGTTTCTTGAACAACGGTTGAACTTTGAACCGTGACTTCTGATTTCAGGACGAGTTACTCATGGTTTCAGTTGAAATGTCCTGAAAAGCAGAAGAGCCCCCCCCCCCCCCAAAAAAAAAAAAAAACAACAGCGCGACTTGAGGCAAGTAAGCGTGCTGCCATCTTTGACGCGAGACACTCGGCAATGCTCGGGAAGCATAACAATCGCACCCTCACCTCTGTCTGCGCCGGCCCCGCCCCTCTGGCTCGCGCCGCCGGACTGTCGTTGGCTTGGGTTGCCACGGAAACCACTCTGGCGCGGCGGCGCTCCTCCCTGCGGGAAACGACGGGGGCCCAATAAATCATCGATTCAAACTCATTACATGGCACACAGAAATTCTCATCGTTCATCTTCACATTTGGAGGCGGAACATTATGGGATGCGGAGACCATCACGGGGGGGGGGCGTGCGTGCGTGTGTGTGTGTGTGTTGGGGGTGAGGGTGCGGACAAAATGGCTGCCAGGAGCTACAGAAAGGCCGTGTTGCTAGGCGACACATCTGCTGCGGTGTCCCATGGCGACGGCGGCGGGC